ATATATATATTACACAATAGTATAATACACAATAGTCTCGCAATGAGCCGAATATAATTAATATTAGAAATATATTAACATAATTGTGAATATCGTTTTATCATCTCGAAAGCTCCTCAAATACTGACTTTACAATTTCAATATCACTGATGCTATAACAAATATGTAAATACGTATTTGTAAGGTCGTGTCAATAAAAGATGTCCACATTTTAAACTGTGATTTTTTGTTTTCAGTAAATAGTGCGACTTATATCGACAGTTGAACTGGACTTTAAATCTTAATCGAGCAGAAAGCATTAGCTAGTCGAGCAATTTGGATCACAAAGACTTTGTTAATCTTCCGGCAAAATTTTATTAAATAAAATTTTATTAAATAAAATGCAAATTTCAATATTAGAAACAATAATAAAACTTATGCTTGTCAAATGATACTTTTCAGCAAGAAACATACTATAACACAGTGATCCTTTCGTATTTGTTTAACATTGGCAAACAGGGAGGTAATGATTTATTTTATTATATTTCGAATTTGTTTACCTTTTAGGAAATATAGAATTTGAGGAGATGCGATTAACGCTATTTGTACTATTTCATCTTTATCATTTATTAGACATAAATATGAATAGAAAAACATAAATAGTGCTAATAGCGTTTCTTCGAGCACACCACAATTAAGCGTCATCCTAGTTTTATTATTTATTGAATGCCGAAAGATAGGACGATCTGTCGATTGTATTTTCTAAAGGGATAGCAGCTATGAATACAGATAAAATGATTGTTGGTGAATTCAATTATTCTCATTACTACATTGGATTACACATTAAAATATTTTTATATAAAATATCTAAATATAAAATGGCATAAAATAATCAACTTCAATGACAATGAATTTATTAATATAGCTTCCAGACTATTAATAAATTACTAAATTTCAACAATAATATTGAGAAATATTAGAAATAATTAAAAATAGATAAAAATGATAGGAATAAAAACATTTTTAGAAGATTTATACAAATAAATGTATGTATTACATTTCTTTTGTATTGATTGAATCAACAATTGATCTCTCAAAGTCAATGCTTTTCTAATAAAATCCCTTTTTGAAATAATCTAAGGCTTCCCTAAGTTTTCGCGTTCTTCTATCAGTTCTTTAATTTCTATCAGTCTATCTTTAATCTTAGTTTCCGGATCATCATCACAATTAATTGAGTCTGAGAAACTTTTTATCTAAAACATATTAATTGAAAATGTTTAATAACAAATAATTTCTTTTTATATGCCAATTCGAAAAAATATTTTTAAAGTAGTAAGTTTAAATATAGCTAATTACGGACTGCGTTTAAAATGTTTAAATGCACGTTTATTAATACTACTGTACGCGCAATTCATGTGACCGTCTAATGTAATCTGTAATAATTAGTTACACTTAAGCCTTTATGTTTCAAAAACTACTGCTTGAAATAAAAAAAAAAAATATAATAATTTGTTATACGAACAAGGAATTAAACGTTTTATATATATGTATATATATATAATATATATACATATATATTATAAAAAATGGTTTTTTATTTATGGAAGATATATAAATATTCTCAAAAACAGACTGAATCATTCATTCACAATAGGATGTTGAAATTTTTCTAAACTCTTATTAATTAAGTTATCGATTTAATATTAATTCATGAATTACAAAAAGTTCAGTTTATATTTTAAAATACGCGCCAATATTATTCAATTTTACAACATATTATTCAATTTTCCTCAAAAATACAAAAATACAGTTTAAAAATGCAAACATAATTAATTATTAATAATATTATTAATTCAGTTGTGTAAAGTTGCATTAATTTAATTTTCTTCACAATGAATAATTTTTATTTGAATTTTTATTTCATGCCACAATTAAAGTGTTATTAATAATCAATAATTCAATAAGATACGTGAACTTATAATTAAAACATATCTTATTGATTTGTTCGTTAAAAAAGAGAAGTTTTTGTAAGAGTAAGTCTTATTATTATAGTCGTAGTAAGTAATCTATAAAAACAAAACATGATTGATAAGTCTTTATGATTGAGAAAACAGCATATATTTACAAAGAGAAATATTATTATACGTATCTGCGATTTTTCATTAAAAAAAAACAAATGCAATTTAAAATTATTGTAAGATTCCTGTATGATCGCTGCAATCATATAAAATCGTGATATAAGTGAGAAATGACACGTTAAAATGTACGTTTTGTCATTTGTTAATAAAGAGAATTTAGATAAAATAAAATAATGAAATTGCTTTTTAAAACATTTGTTACAATAGCCAGAAGCTATATCTTTATCCCCCCCTCAACAATCAGTAAATAGTCGTAAAAAGCACGTGAAGAAGTGAAAATAAATTACACATGAGTATTGAGTAAACGCTGATATTTCATGTGCTTTTTACGACTATTTACTGACTGTTAAGAGGGATAAGAATAGCTTCGGCCATTTTTACAAAAGTTTTAAAGCGATCATTATTTTATTTTATTCAAATTCTTTTTAATTACAAATGACATACAAAAAACGTCATTTTACAAATGACATGCAATTAATGTCATTTTTCGCTTACGATATCATATGGCCGAGGCGATTATAATTTAGGAATCTTTAATTAATTTTCATATGGTAATGGAAAGATTGAAAGAGAATAATTTTAGCAACTTTTGTTAAAGGAATCATATACGATATTCATATATGATTCTTTTAACAAAAGTTGCTTAAATTATTCTCTTTTATGTCCATTTTTATCAATAGTAGATTAACTTTAATCTTGGTTCTTCTAATCTTTAGAAAAAAATGAAGAGTAAGTTGAACCGAGATTAAAAAAAATTTACAGATAAAAAAAAT